TGAAGAAAAAAAACGAAAAAAAAAATCTTGAAATTTCAACGGTCTGTAAGTTGGTAACGAAGCGTTTGTGCACACATGTCCATGGCAGAAATAGTATATTGTGTCACGAGGATAGGAAAGTGACAGTCAAACGTCTAGATAGTGAAAACTCACAAAATTCGTGGTGTTATATGAGTTGAGCAGCTCAAAGAACGATAGATATCACTTTCGGTCACATTTTCATGATTGATATTATTCATTATCATATATTATTATGGAAGGCGAAGAAAGTCTTATTTTGATATGAATAATAAGACCGTGGAATATTGATACTGAATTTCGAAACACCCTGTACATATGAGCAAATTCGAGTTATTCTTCAATGCGTGGATGCGTGACGAGAAACATTCGTAAATTCTCATCAGTTGAAGTAAAGTGATAAGCAGAGTTTCTCCAAATTCAGTAGGCACTTGAAATTGCTCGATTTGACATGACTGTGTAGAACAGATAAGTCAGGATAAAAAGATGCATTTTTAATATGTGATGGCTCCTATCTGAATATTGAAATTAACAAAATTGGCAGAAACAAGAAATGAATTTCAATATGAGGGTGCTCCCCTGTATTAGAGCGGTATTTTTGATTACAATATTTTATCATTTTTCAATGCAGAAAAATTTTGGACATTTAAAACGTTAATTATGTTGGAAGCCAGAATGATGGATGCAGTGTGCACAACTCTCGCAAGCCGCTCGTTTATTGTCTCAATCATGGAATACTCATACGAATACAACTCGTGATACCATTTTTCCTGGAAATATTAGTCGATTGCCATACTCCAGCTTGCTGCTTCAATTTCGCTGATGACATCGTTTCAAAACTAGCCTACGACTCGAAAGTTTTGGAACAATGGCATTCGGCGAAATTATTAGGTAACAAGCTATCGGAACAATCGCCGATTAATTTCGGCAAAATAGTATATATCACTTGCGGTAGTACATGTGAGGAAGAAATGGAAAAGGCTAGAAAGATTCTCAATGTGTTGGTGAGTCCATAGAAAAATTGTCGTGAAGTCTTATCAGCTCAAGTGGAGTGATAAGAGTATCTCCAAATTTCAGTAGACACAATACTCGAGATATGATTCTGAAACGATTGTGTCAAACAGATTAAAAAGGATAAGAGAATGCACTTTTATTATGAAATTTTTGATAACCAAATTATCATATTGACTATTCCACTCTTGGTCTCTAAAAATCAATTAGAATCGGCCATTGGCATCACGGTTTCTTCTACAGCGATATTTTTTGTTTACTAAATTTTATCAGACTTGCCGAATCGGCTCGCACGTGTTGAACCTTTCTTGTTTTTCAGCGATAAAATTTTTTAAGTTCGAAAAAAATGCTTGAAGTCATAATGATGGATGAAGTATGCGCAACTCTCGCGAGCGGCTCGTTTATCATCTCGATCATGGAATATTCACACAAATACAACACGTGGATACTATTTTTCCTGGGAATATTTGTTGATTGACAAACTCCGGCTTGCTGCTCTGATTTCGCTCATGGCATTGTTCCAAAACTTCTTGCCTACGGCTCGAAACTTTTGATAAACAATGTAATTCGGCGAAATTATTAGGCAACAAGCAGTCGTTACAATCGCCGAATATTTCCGCAAAATAGTATCACTTGTGGTATCACATATGAGAAAAGAATGGAAAAAAACGGGAAAATGCGTGGGTGTGTTCATGGAAAAAATTTCGCAGTCTTATCAACTGAAGTAGACACTACTCGAGATTGCATGATTCTGAACCATTGCGTCAAATAGATAGGAGAAGGATGAAAAAATGCATTTTTACTATAGAACTTATGTTATCCGAATTACCGTATTGAAAATAAAAGATTGGAAACACCGAGTAAAACTTACACCATAACGACCAATAAGGTAGGTGAGTGTTTTCTATCTATCTATCCCGTTATCAATGGGTACCTATATGGTCAAGTAGTTTCAAAAGCATCCAATTATACTTCGAGGTGTTATTCAATTTTCTGGCCAGACTTTGAGGGGCGATTATTTGGGTGTTTGTGAGACAAAAATTCATATGAATATAAGCTCCGTCTTCAAGATACAGGTTGTTGAAGTTGGAAGTATTGATTTTTGTTTCTCACGATTACCCTGTATACTGTATTTCCAGATGGCAAAGTTTAGTCCGTTTGGTGACTAAAACAGTATTGAAATTCCTGAATAATTCTAGCTCCTTGAGGTTATTGGGTAATCACAATGGGTGATTTGTGCACACCTACATTGAAATTTGGAGACAAAACTATTTTTCATTATTTCCTCAAAAAAACTGAGTGATATATAAAAATTCAATAGGGAGCAAGAAAGTTGTATTTTCAATTGTTGAATCTGATAAAAATATAAATAATACCATAAACAGCGAGAAGGTAACCCACTGCGATGCCACTGGAATCATTATTTCGAATTTTATTACACCAAGAGAAGCTTCGTTGATACTGTGAACAAAATCACAAAGTTTCATTAAAATTGGATATAAAAATCTCGAGTGAGTAGGTACTTGAAAAAATGATGAAAACATTTTATTGCAACTCGAAACTTGAAGACGTAGCATTTCTGGACCTATATTTTCATGAACTTTTCGTATTAGAATCACCTAAATAATCATCACTTGAAGTTTGGTCACAAACTCAAATAACACCCTTTGTGAATAACTCGAATTTATATTCATATCTGAACTATTATGTCATAACGAAAAATTTGATGTCGCATCTGATTTATATCCAAGATGAAGAACATTTCAATATTCAATATTGGAGATTTGGATCATTTAGGATCTTAGATTTGGGTCCACCGAAATATTTCAATCAAATTTTCATAATATTGATGATCATTTCAGAATTATGTGCTCTGACATGAAACTGTATCTTTGTAATCTTTCAAGACACGAATAATTCTTCCAATATCGATCACTTATTATTTTCGAGCCTATACTATAGGTATGCCAATTTAGTATTGACTGAGTCAAATATTTCGAAACTCATAGGATCAAAATGGTTTTACATATGCAAGTTCATTGCTCCTACACAATTCCTTGAAAACATGACCTTTTTTTATAGCTCCATTGTCACGGTGTACCTCTACCTATACACTGAAGGAATCTAATATCATCATTCTTAAGGTATTCATGAGCATTCTTCCTGGGGTTTAATATGTGGTTTCTCCTATTGTGTTACACGACATTATATAGAATAGAGGCCATTTTGAGAAATTAAGTATTAATGAGTTGAGAAACATATAAGTATAATATGTTCATCTGTACACAACGTGTATATTATGAATATCATCACCATTTGGAAACTGGAGAGTGAGGAATCTTCTAAAATATAATAAGAAACTTTCAATCGGTGTTCTTGTGCTACGAAATATTGTTGAATAATCGCGTTATGACTGTTATACACGAATAACATACCAAAAATAATATCAACCACGTAATCAGTGCATCAAACATTCCACTAATTAAAAATGAGTAATGTATAGTTAACAAAGGATTTCTATGAATTTCCATGCCATAATTCATCATTATATCCAAATATTCAACACGTAATTCGCAAAATATTTAAAGAACATTCAGCTGGTTCATTATGAGCTATTTTATCAGAATGTAGATTCAGTATCTATATCTATTATGTACCTACATTGGTGAATTTCTTCATGTATGTAGCTACTTGGATAGAAGCTAAGTTAAATATGTACAGTGTAATTCATGAAGTCTGTAACATATGGAGAAAAAGTGTATCATTGAAGTATCAGAATTTTTTTTTCTCAAGGATCAATTATGCATGTCCGATAACCTGAAGAACGATCTTGATTTATGTCATGTGACCACTGATGTATGGCGGTTAATTGAAAAATGACTATGAAAAGGCAGAAAAAGTGGTTAGATAGCAAGAGATCAGGACAAATTATATGAGAAAGCTGCTTACAAATCAATATAATACTGAAAAACAAAGTTTCGATTTATTATTGTTTGACTAATTCCCGATTTCATTAAAATTACCGAATTTGTTTTCCTGAATAAATGGGAACAATCTAATTTTCTTCCCACCAGATCGCAAGCCAAATAGCATGACATTGGAAATGTTCGAAAAAATTTGCTATTCATGACGTTTTTCGATATCTTATTGCCTTCTAACTCCACTTTTTGCCTATTCATAGTAATTTCTCTTCAATTCACCGCCATACTATAATAATATCATTATAACAGTTTTATGGATGATACTGTATATTCACAAACATATTTTGCTATCACTATATAGTTGAAGGAGTTTTCGATATAGATGGATGATATGATGTTATCATTTTTCAGAGAAAAATGTATTGATGATATTCATCAAAAAAATTGAAGAAGCCTTATTGTTCATCAGAAAACATACGGCTCTGCATGGGAAGTTGAACTAGGTTATTCCAGCGTACATTGTATTGTACGCTGGTTATTCTAATACAAAGTACCATTATTTGAATGGCAATCTTATATGATGGTGATGGGTCACCCTGTATTTTTTTATCTTTCGAATCGCACGAAACGAAATCCATCTATTGCGTATTCCGAGTAGCAAGGGATATAGGAATAAGGTTCGTATAAAGAATTGATTCGGAATTTCAAGTTTATAACTTCTTCATAGCACTTTTCTGTGCAGAGGAATCCAAAAATGTGCCCTATTGAATGAAAAAAAAAATGCTGAATGATCTCTCACCGATAAGATAATCGAAAAATTGAAATTCCATGTCTTCTTACCTGAGGAACACAGTAACAATCATCTGAATTTCCAGTTGATGTGTATCAAGTATTTTCATCCACTATCAAGTAGAATAGGTAATTTTGGCGAAAGACCACTCAACGAGGCAAATATCTAGGGATACAATTTTACCTGACTATATAACAGCACACATACAATGTGTAACTAACTATTCTGGAAAGTTTTTTATCCTTCAAACCTATTTTCAGAGACAAATCGAGAAGGCGAATGACCTTCACGAAGAAACCAAACACATAAATGATTCAAAAGGCCAAAGTCTGAAGGAACTGACCGAAAACCTACATATCCAAATGAAAGCGTTCAGAGAAAAACTTGAAGATGCCAGGGAGAGAATCGAAGACAGCTGCAGATGTTTTCTACTGCTCGAATCGTGTCGAGACATACTGGAAGATGACTCCAAGGAGCAGGCAGAGTTCATCAAGATGGCTGAGAATTCTGGGAATGAAAAGTTGGTCCGGATATGTCAGGTAAATACTCAAACTTTCATAGGTCACTAGTCGAACGTCAAACCATAATATGTTATGGAATTGTTACTATCAAAGTTCAGTACTGAATTTGATCATATTCGTTTAATTCTCTATTGATTATTTTAACAACATTTCAAGAAAGCTCAATGAGAATGATAATATGTTATGTGCTTACAACAATAATTTAACACTCGAATAATTTAATGCTCATTCTTTCTTTTTCATTCCTGCAACTGAGTATGATATAATAGGTATCGTCAAAAATCTGAGTATCTCGAAATCTGTAGGAGATAATGGTATGAGTACAAATATATTGAAAACGTGTATACACTTTATAGTTGAACCTCTCACCTATCTGATAAATTGTTCTTTAGAAGAAGGAGTTTTCCGGAAAGCCTCAAGGTGTGTAAGATTGTTCCAATTCATAAGACAGGAAACAAATCAGAATTGGAGAATTCTAGATCAATTTCACTTTCCAGTCCATTTGCAGAGGTCTTTCAAAAATTTTTTTCGAATTTAGTAGTCACAGTTTGTGTTTCGTGAGGAATTGTCTACTAGCCACGATATTGTAAAGTTTCTTAACGAGTTGTACCAACATTTAGATGGAGGACAGGAGGCTTTGGGTATTTTCTTAGACCTGACCTGAGCTCTCGATTTGGATGATCTTGAATTTCTTCTCATAAATGAGAGCCTTTTTTATATAAGAGTACCACAAGGCTCTATTCTTGGTCCATCCTTCCATATAATATATGTTAATGACTTCAATAAGGAGATTACAGAAAACATAATGAAAACTAGTTTTGAAATGAATTCGGGTATTCTGTGATTTTTCACTCACTAATGAAGAAATGGATAAGTGATCACTAAATATAATCACCGGAATATCGAAGACTCCAATATAATTCATGTTACTATCAATTTTTCAGTCAGTCAAGAAGAAAGAAGAAGTTACCGAATCCAATGAACCACCTGATAAAGTAGGAGACCCAGGCTCTCCGAAATGTTCTATGGCCGAAATAAGTGCTGCTAGTACTCCTGTCAGACCCCATAACAGCCAAATCAGAAGGAGATCGGTCAGTTCACTGGCGTTCATCTACCACTGCAATCACGTAGCAGCCGGAGAAATATGCAACTGTTGTGAATCCGACACCGAAAATTCTGTATCCTACAGACTGAAGAAGAAATACATTCAATCGCTACAGGAATGCGGGTGCTCACCTAGTGCTAATATCAAGGACTCTTTGGAGCGCAAAAACAGTGGCACTCTGGGCGGCATCAAGGAAGAACGTGAAAGTGTGGAAGATCTCTTGGAAAAAGTTGACTCTGAGAATGGTGACTGTAATAGGTGTGATAGTGGTGTGTCTACTGCAGAAAACTCTGTCGGTGACGAAATTATGTACAGTAAGAAAAAAGTGCAAAGAAGTTGTTCGTGTCAGTATTATAGGGAGGGTTGTAATTTGTGTAGTGCTGGTAGCTCTAGCACTGGCTCAAATCAGGATCATACAGAAAATCAGCATGATAGTATAATAGAGGAGGGGATCGATGGATTCCTGAAAAGGTGATAACAATAATATCATTTACCTATAGCAATGTAGTGAATTTCGTTATGTTGTAGTAATAGTAGTGATGATATAGAAGATGACCACTTTTCGGAAGAAAGAAGGAAAGTGCCTCCTGTAGCAGCCAATAACCACTTGTATTGTCATGCTTCAACCCTGGACCTGCCTTCAGATGCCTTATATAATAATATGGACCCAAAGACTCAAAAGTAAGTTTGTTGATAATACCCTTCCTCTTATCAGATAATCGTAAATCTCATACTCAAAAAATATCTTAGTGACATATTCCATTTTATTCTATGAAAATTGTTTATAATTCAATTGAAGTTATTGAATATCAAATTCCGAATAGATTCAATGGGCCTCACATCAGCTGAAAGTTTTTTATAGCATGAAAGTACTATCATATTTCAAGTGAATTCCACCTATATCTTGCTCTGAATATATTCCGCTTTCGAATCTTGATTCACTCTGTATCGATATGATCGATGAAGAAAGGTACTCATTATGATGTTCCGTAGTTGTTAGTTCTACAACAAGATATATCCAGCTCAACTCGAAACAGTTGAGTGGAAGTTCATTTTTGACGAAAATTTTTGAGATTTTTTTAATGGAAATGCTTAGGGTATGAAGAATAATCCCTCGAATTGATTCTCTTGTTTGATTTCTTCAGGGAAAATCATGAATCATGATGATTTTTCAACTATGATTTCATTGATTCTTGGTTGATCTGAATCACCCTCATGTAACAGTTATTAGCATCAAGTAAGTATTCAATATATATTCCTCTCTTGAATTGAAATTTCACCAGTTATATCAACTCATTACATCACATCCTATATGAGTTACGTGTGAAAACATTCCAGGTATGTCTGAAACAAATAGTTCACTTTCTGGAAAAAAAAGCCTAATATATAGCTGTTCCAGACATTTCAACTCTTTCAGCAAATAATGAGCAGACGATGGATATGAAGATTGTCATTTTCTACACATTTCGAAAAGGAGCTCATTGAGTACTAGAAGTGATATTTGAATCGAGATGATTTCGCGGTATAGAATCACAAACACTGTATTTGCAATATTATGCGATTTGGAAATATGTAGTGAACTCATATCAGATCAATCATATAGAAAATTGTACTTTGGATAGCCTTCTCTACTGTATATTAGTTGTCCTTGATAGTTTCGCGACCAACACGCCCAACCATTTAGAAATTATCAAGAAGTGATGAGGAATTTGATTACCTCATTTATTTCTCTGATTCTTGAAAAACATGTTATTTACTTCTCCAATTCATGATAATATTTGATAGGAATCAGTAGGTGGGTACTATTATTATTTTTCATTTTTCCAGGACCTTAACTTACATTATCAAGGAAATGGTGGAAACCGAGCGAGACTATGTGAAATCGCTTGATTATATCATCATAAACTACATACCAGAACTACAGCGAGAAGATATCCCCCAGGCCTTGAGAGGCCAGAGGAACACAGTTTTTGGAAATGTTGAGAAAATATACGAGTTTCACAGCCAACATTTCCTCAAGGAATTGGAGGAATTCATTACTAATCCTTTGCAAGTTGGCCAAATATTCCTCAAATATGACAACAGGTTCTATCTGTACGCCTTATACAACAAGAACAAGCCCAAGTCAGACTCGTTAATGTCAGAATATGGAACTTTGTTCTTCAAGGTGAATGGAACTCAATCAATCATTGCCTATTAAGGTTCCTTACTTGAATGGCAAGCTGACTGATTGTGATAAAAGATACTCTAAATCGAAATTCAATTACTGAAATTAAGGAACCTCTATAGTCAATTCAAGTTCTTTCAGGTTTCATTTGACGGTCTCAGAATTTTCATTCATTATCTGTGGATAAAAATCAAATGACAAATCTGAATTTAATGTGTTTATCTCTTCATTTTGAGAACTGATCTAGTATTGAAACCTATCTAGTCCTTGTACAGGTTGATGCCAAATATTTTACTTCATTCTAGAGCAAGCAAATAGAGTTGGGGGATAAAATGGATCTGGCCAGTTATCTACTGAAACCTGTCCAACGTATGGGGAAATACGCCCTACTCCTTCAGCAGATGATGAAAGCTTGTTCAGCATCTCTCCAGGATGCTCCTGAGAGACGAATTCAAGATCTTGACGATTTGAAACAGGCTGAGGAAATGGTTCGCTTCCAGTTGCGACATGGAAACGACTTGTTGGCAATGGATTCTATCAGAGATTGCGATGTGAGTTGATCCTTAGACATATTTGAAAAAGTAGATATCCCAGCAAACATATATCGCACGAACCTTTAGACGCCCTCCAAAAACTACTGACAGACAGACCATAGGCAGCCGGACTATTTGCTGATACTATATTCAGTTAAAAAAAAGAGTCGAAAGTCGGTTTCGAACCAGCGCTTCAACGGACATCATATTCACTGTCACGCGCTTATTTCACAACGCTACTGCGGTAATCGAAAGATATTGGTTATGAATTCATTAGTTAATAACATTGAGATAGGTAAAGGTTTCAATTAATTATATTTTATCATACGATACACCTATCATAGCTTGGTTGATTTGATGACGTAGAATAGGTGTTGTCTGATAATGTTACAGCCACATTACTTCACCAGTCACTGTCACGCGGCTATTCCACAAGGCTACTGCGGCGGTACTTGACAGAAATGGGTAATGATTTCATTAGTTAATACAATTGAAATAGTACAAGGCTTCAATTATATTTGATCATATGATACACCCATCATAGCTTGGTTGATTTGATGCCGTAGAATAGGTGTTGTCTGATAATGTTACAGCCACATTACTTTTCCAGTCACTGTCACGCGGTTATTCCACAATAGGGATACTGCGGTACTTGAAAGATATTGGTTATGAATTCATGAGTAAATGAAATGAAAATATTACAAGGCTTCAATGATAATTGATCATACGATATACACCTATCATTGGTTGGTTGATTTGATGACGTAGAATAAATGTATATAGTGTGATAATGTTACAGCCACATTTCTGTTCTGGTTTCTCATCTGTTTCACTGTGAATCGAATATTTGTCGAATATAGGTAAAGAACTGAACTTTGCATTAGTGCATCATTGTTGTTGAATAATGAACAAATATCTATAGCTCGAAGTAATTGATACAAAAATAAATTGGTGTAGACAACGGGTATGATTTTTATATTCAACATATAATCTATTCTTGATGTCAGTCGATACTTTGCTGGGATCAACCATAAAAAATGCACAAGGATTCTGGATATATATCACAATTGTGATAGGTACTACAATATGAGATAATATGAGGAGTTTGTCTCCACCCAGCGTCGAATCGACAGCGGCACGATAAAATATAACAGTCAATTACGGGATGGATAACAAACAAAGCATATGCGTTAAATATGCGAACATCGGTTTGCCTCTGCCGACACATATCTGCTGCTGACAACTGATAGCCCGGGTATTTGACGCCTATTCATGTTGACTAGGATACATTGTGCCCAAGATAAGGATGAACAGCTTGAAGATCCCAGTAACGTGGTACGGAGATTTTGTGAATCTCTTCATATAATAGGGGTCGAACAGTGAAAATGAGAAAGTGCTTCTGCTTTTTACTGAATATCTCGAATAACTTCAGCAAAGATGAAAATGAGATCGCCAAAATCGAATATCCAAAGTTGAGAACATTTTCGAGATTCCTTGATATTTATTCATTGATTTCCTGATCGCACTATTCGCCCCTCAGATCAACGTTGATCTGAGATTCGCCCAATTGAGCTACTGTGTAATTCTTACCAATATCGAGTGCCCCATGCATGCTGTTCATCCTTATTACTTATATCTTAGGGACACTCTATGAGAAACACAATTAATGAAAAATTCGAACTATCAATAATGAAGAGTAGTTATTCAAAAACCTATGACCATACTACGCAATGACTGTCTTAACTTTATGGACCATCCCAGATAACACCGATCTGCTTGAGAAATGACGGCCGACTATTGAAATATAAGACACCTGCAACGGGTGCACTAGCAGTACCTACTTCATGATAGACGGTAAAAACGCACGCATTCATAGTTTGTAGTTCGCGGTCAAATACTTACTTGGAAAATGCTCGAAAAACTGAGTCCTTTACGGATTTGCAAGCGAATATACGTTGGTGACTGAGCACTCTCATAAATGGTGCATCGATAAATATGTTGTTGCTGTAGCACTTATGAATCAATCATTTAATCACCGGTAATGCGTATTAGTGCCGACTGGTGGCCGTCTGGAAACTTCGACGCCGGGTCTTCAACAATGATTTAGTGCCACGTGACCAATTTTGATGCGGCGTCTCTTTTCAACCCACGTTAATGAGGAACGAATTTATTATCAGTTGTATAGTAAGATATCACATCATTTTTTTTTAGTTAAATTGTTGCAAAATCAGAAACTGTCACTGTATTTCATATAATATTAATATAATAACACCCCAAATAGGTGGTAGGAAAAAAAAGAAATAAGGCGATACTCAATATTATGGAATGGTTCATTCGTGATCAAATTGAGAAAAACTTCAACACAATTGAACATGACACAATCGATGATATGAATAACACTTTGAAAACAAGAAAAACAAATTTGAATAACGCATTGTCCTTTTGTAACCTAAACATTTGCAGTATCAACAAAAATTTCGTGCAATTGGAAGTGCTTCTTTCGCAAATTGATCTCTCTCCTAGTTGTATCGTTCTGTCTGAAACCTGGGAAATAAAAAACAAAGAATTATGGCAGATTGAAAATTACGACATGATCCACACGAAAACTCGGCTGAATCAAAATGATGGCGTAGTAGTGTACTTGAAAAAAGGGTTACTGCACACTTATGAAAATGTCCAAATAGGCTCAGCTAATGCATTAAACATTGAAATAAATATAAACAAGTATAAAATTAAACTCATTGCAGCCTACAGATCTCCATCAACGGACGCGGAACAATTCACAAACAGCCTATCAGGTTTACTAGAGAATCAAAATTTTAACAACTATGAATACACATACATCATCGGAGACATAAATATAGACATACTTAAAGACAGTAAAGAATCTGATGACTATCTGAACATGTTACAGGAAAAGGGTTTCATCTCCCTAATAAACAAATACACCAGAGTCACCACCGATACGAAATCTTGTTTGGACCACGTTTTTGTAAGGGGAAAAAATAAAAACTATGATGAAAGCAACTATTCGGTCGTTTTGAAAACACTAATTACTGACCACTATACAACCTTCGCTATAACCAATATGATCAATAATAAGTCTACTGAAAGTGTACTAACATGTAGTAAAACTGATGAAAGAAAACTACTCAATACGATAAAACAAAAAAACTGGAACAACGTCGAAAATATCCAAAACGCCGAATTATCATTTGAATCATTCATAACCGAAGTGACAAAAATGATAAAAGATGCAACACAAACTTTCAAAATAAAACTGAAAAAGAAAAAAAAGCCTTGGATATCTCAGGGACTAGTGAACTCCATTAAAACCCGCGATTCTCTACATCGAAGACAAGTAGCTGAACCAAACAATCATACAATAAAAACATACTACATCAAATATCGTAACAAACTAAACAAATTAATCAAAAAAGCTAAGAGCGACTACTTCCAATCTGAAATCGAAAAAAACGTAGGATCGGCAAAAAATATGTGGAAAGTTGTAAACAGTTTCACCAACAATTATAAAGAAAAAACTAACACAATCAAAAATTTAATCCTGGAAAATGGCACGGAAATAACTGAGGCAAATGAAATAGCAAATGAAATGAATAATTATTTCTCTGAAATAGGCCCGAAACTGGCATCTGAAATTAACAAAAGTGATCTGAAAGAGCAGCATGCCATATCTCTGAACTCCATATATCTTAGACCCACGTCCATTACCGAAATAAAAAATGAAATCTTATCCTTAAAAAATAATAAATCACCGGGCCCAGATGGGATTAAAAATGAGACGGTCAAATTGATGGCAGAATATATATCTGCACCTTTGTGTCACATCTTCAACTTATGCATCTCTACCGGAATAGTGCCAAAGGATTTCAAAACAGCAATCATAATACCAATTTTCAAAGGTGGAGTCAAATCAAATGTGGCAAATTACCGACCGATTTCACTCACATCCGTCTTTTCAAAATTATTTGAGAAAATAATCAAAAAGCGACTCATGGAATACCTTAACCTTCATAATATAATTTCAAACAGACAATACGGATTCAGGGAAAACCGAAGTACTCAGGATGCTATAGCATACCTCACCTCACAAATATACGCGGCTGTGGACAATAAACAGCCATGTCTGGGTGTTTTCGTTGATTTAGCAAAAGCGTTTGACACGGTCAGTCATGAACTTTTGCTAGAAAAGCTTGAACACCTAGGCATAAGAGGAACTCCATTGGAACTATTCAAAAACTTCCTCAATAACCGTGAACAAATGGTCAAAGTTAATGATAAAATAAGTAATTCTAGATCGGTTTCCTGTGGTGTACCACAGGGTACAGTCCTTGGTCCTGTACTGTTTGTAATATATCTAAACTCCTTGCTCACCTTAGAAACTTGTGGGGAAATTGTCTCGTTCGCTGACGACACGGCCATTATTTATGTAGCTGATTCGTGGGCTGATTTGAAGGAAAAGGCAGAAGAGGACTTGGTAAAAATAAAAAATTGGTTCGAACTAAACTTGTTAACCGTAAACGTTACAAAAACAAAGATAATACCCTTTTCTTCATATGATACCAACTTACCAACTTACACTATCGATTTTGATGGGCAAAATGTTGCGACGACCCGCAGCGTACGTTATCTTGGAATATTCATTGATTCTTGCCTAAAATGGGATGTCCACATAGAAAATCTTAAGAAAAAAATCCGTTCACTATTGTACAAGTTCTACCAATGTCGATATATACTCCCACTAGAAAAACTGAAAGAGATATATTTTGCAATCGCAGAGTCGTTATTGAGTTATGGTATAATAGGATGGGGCGGAGCCCGCAAGACTCTGATGGAGCCTCTGCAGGTCTTACAAAAGAGAATTCTGAAAATAATAACTTTTAAACCCTACAGATACCCATCTGATGAACTCTATAACAATCTTGATATATTAGATATCAGACAAATTTATGTGAAGTCAGTGCTGATGTTCATCTTCTCAAATAAGTCATCCTACCTAAATAAACCTGATCACTCTTATGACACTCGAAGCATGAGAATAAGGAACGCTTATGTACCGAGAGTCAACAAAGCGCTAGGACAACGATCTCTAATGTATAATGCGCCAAAACTATACAATAACGTTCCGGAAAATATAAGATGTATCGAATCAAAGCTTTTTTTCAGGAAAACTATAAAAAAATGGATCCTACAACGTGGAAGAGCATACTTTCACTCGATTATAGATTGAACAAACCCCTTATTTCTTTCATTCCAGTTCCATTTCATGTTATTCATATACACATATCAAGTAGACTTTGTTTATTTTTCAATTTTTCAAATCTTAAATTTTTCAATAATCAATTTTCATATAGCAAATAAATAAATTCTTGAAAGCAAATAAACATAAACCTCTCCATAGACAGTCCCCTCCAGGACTACATGGCGTTTCTGTTTATTTACTTGGTATTTATACATATAATATGTTCTGTAAACATTTTCTTTTTTGTTTGTTACCTAGTAAATAAACATATTCTATTCTAAAAAAAAAAAAAAAAAATATCTGTCACGCGGTTTCCAATCAATGTTGAAGACCCGTTACATGAACTGCCAGCTAGGGAAGGTGTGCATTACAAATCCTCAGCCGATGGCTGAGGCTATATAGGCAGGAAGTTCAAAGAGTAGATCCAAATTAAATCCTGATGGATTTACAAATATTTTTTATTTTCACGCAGCGATAGTCACATTACGACATGGTCAGATTAGGCAGGGTCAATATCTGTTCTAGATTAGTATTTGTCGGTATAATTGTGGTACACTTCAGTTCATTCCATAATCGTTTTTTTCACTAAAAAATACAGTTGACAAGTGCAATATAGAAAATAATACTTTTCTAAAGTTCTGTCATTGTTTTACTAGGTCAATCTCAAGGAACAGGGTCGTCTGATACGACAAAACGAGTTTCTGGTATGGGAAGGACGTTCGGGGAAAAAGTCACTGAGACAAGTATTCCTGTTCGAAGAGTTGATACTTTTCAGCAAAGCCAGGAGGTTTCCAGACAGAAAGGTAATAGGATACTCTAATTTTTGAGAAGTTATGACGAATATTATGATGAATACTGAAGATTTTGCAGAATCTCGACCTTTACATCTACAAGAACAGTATTAAGATGACTGATATAGGACTGACCGCGAAAATAGGGGACAGTCCCACCAAATTCGAAATTTGGTTCAGAAAGCGAAAACCCAATGATACATTCACATTGCAATCTATGACTGAAGATGTTAAGAAGATATGGGCAGAGGAGTTGTCACAGTTACTTTGGCGACAAGCTATCAAAAATAGAGGTGACTAATGAAACTTGTTGTTTTTCAACGGATTACTAACTGATACATATTGAAAATATTCTAGCTGTCAGAATGGCCGAGATGTCATCAATGGGAATTGGAAATAAACCTTGCTTAGACATCAGACCAAGTGGAAATCAAATTAGTGACAGATCCATTAGCTTCGCCCAGTTGAGTAGAAGTAAGTTTTGATACCCAATTATCATATCATATCTCCATAATCACGAAGAAGAAAATCACAAAGTCATATCTGTCTCCTTCTCCAAACAACGACCACTCAACTCAGAGATACTTTATGGACTTCTGCATGCTCCTACCAGAGATTATTTCATCCACAGACTTATAACCTCTAAAATTTCGAACGAATTCCAACACCTTCTTTCCTTATCCACGATGTTCCACGAACATTATAGGAAATTACTCTCGTGAGCTATAAGAGTTGGAAAAAAAGGGCTAGGTATCTCCAAGGAATTTAAATCTACACTAATTTCAATTTTGAGAAAAGGACGTCAATTAGAATATCGAGAGGGAAGTTATCTATGCCAGTATATTATAGTTCAAGATTATGTCTTCAACTTTTGTATTTACAATCGAAAAGCATGAACTACATTCTGAATGTTTATTGTATAGGAATACGAGGCGCCTTGACCAAGTTTGTACATGCGCTGAAATTCGCTGGATAGCCGTTCCCGATACGAAGTTACTGTCGGTCCAAATCCGGCATGGCTGAGCACTTTCCTCAATGATAAATATGATTCCTGGTTGTGACCCTGGCAGCTCCTTGATTCCGTTAAAGTGGTTTGAATTCCACTATGAGCTGGAGGTTCCGCTCTTTCTAACCCCGCACAAGTTTCGACTTCTGTGGAGTTGGGTCAAAACTTGGAAGCATTGCATTTTTCTCTCACAATTTCGTTTCTTCATATTATATAAATATTAGTGGTGCGATGTACCGGGTGGCTACGGAAGTATTGCCTACGGAATATCTCAGTTATTGTATCAAGTAGGTTTGTGAAATTTGGAGCGTCGATATAATGACATAGGAGCTAGAATTTGAGCATATTGACATGTCGAAGTTAACTTCCGGTCTGACCGGAAGTAACAACAACTTTCTTATTTTGAAGGGAAACCCTATTTTTTTTTCTTTTTGCTTTATTCAGCATTCAATTCCCTTTCTAATGACATATCACAAGTCTGTATCTAACCAGAAACTAGATCAGAAAAAAAGTATTATTGAAATTCACCGAGTAGGCCGTGGAAGCAAAATGAGAGCCATACGTCACTCGATAACAGTTGCTACTACTGTGATCAGACCGGAAGTTAACTTCGACATGTCAATATGCTCAAATTCTAGCTCTTATGTCATTATATTAACGCTCCAAATTTCACAAACCTACTTCATACAATAACTGAGATATTCCGTAGGCAATACTTCCGTAGCCACCCGGTATATTAATGATATGAGTGCAGAAACATATTTCATGTTGAGAATGAGCATATTATTGTCATAGTCACCATCTCTTGAATTTTTTTCGATCAGCTCCTTTGATAATCGTTCGATTACGAAGAAACAAAATTAATGAGATCAAAATTTCATTAAAAACGCAGGTTTGGTGTAAACTCAGTTCAGCTCAAGTTAGCGCCGTGCCAGGTTTCCTTTACTCTGGAAACTTCGAAAATAGTCGACTTCGAAATCTTCGAAGCTAAATATTCAGTTCGATTCCATATTCATTTCAAGACCCAACAAAAAAGTCATCTTCGAAGTAAAATATTCTGTTTGGTTCGATTCTAAATTCATTACAAGACACAACGAAAATAGTCCACTTCGGAATCTTCGAAGCTAAATATTTAGTTCAATTCTATATTCATTTCAAGACCCAACGAAAATAGTCGACTTCGAAATCTTCGAAGTCAAATATTCTATATTAATTTCAAGACTCCACGTAGAGTTTCGAAGGTATACTTACCAAATTTAATACTTGAGAAAGTAGATGCTATTGAAATAAGTATAGTATAAGTGATTGGACATCAGAGGGGTGAACAAAACATCCAATCGATGTTAGCATCAAGCTCCTTTCGACATAATTTTTCATCTCAGAATCATAGCATCAAAGGCAGGCAGGTCTCGAAATGTGTCATATGAAAATGTAAATCAAAATGTGGTAAAGTCATAATGAAGCTGTTCACTCTTCAGGATTGGAACCTAGTAGAAATAGTTCTTTCGAATTTCAAATTTCGATATCCACAAACTTCAACTTCCTCATTATTTCCAGCTGTCCCAAGGTTCCGCAATTCCGTAGTTGGCACCATGACGGAAGTGTGTACGAAAATCAAGCGACCGCATTCGGTTATTTCGATGTCGAGCAGCGTGTCATCAGGCAGTACAAGTTCTAGTGGGTCCAGTGGGTCCGGTGGGTCCCTTGGGACGCCTGTTGGATCCAACAATATCCCCATTGTTCTTGCCTTCGAGTCCACCTGCGATAGTCCAAAGCCCTACCACAAATCTGCCACATTGAATAGCCAATGTTCCATAGGTGTGTAAAGAATACAGAGATGTTGGAAAAAATGTATGAGTTGAATTTTCCTCAAATATAAACGACTTTGAAATATCAAGATATTATATAGTCTGTCCAATATAGATTAGAAGTAGACTGCAAGCCCACCAAATAATGATGAAATTTTAGCAGGATTTCAGTGACGAAGCAATTTTTAACTTCATCTCAAAACATCTAGAATAAAATTGATTTTTTGATATGCTGTCTAGCCATAAAATACCTGTGTATCATTAATGTATTCGCAATGATAGAACTTGACCTGATGGAATGATACAGGCCGATAGTATTGGATTTGTACGTAGTGAGCAGGAGATTTGATTTCACGGATATTAGTTATAGGCTTCATTATAGGTATAAATAAATATGCAAAGTAATGTTCACAATTGTTCATGAATAAACGAACCTGCTAGATTACGACAGAAAAACATCTACTTCTCTGACTACATGCAACGCAGAACATTGAATTACATCCTGTACATGAAGACGAGAATAAGATTACAAGAGTTTCTTCCGAAGATGCTGAATCGTGCTTAATTTTTTCAAGAACGCTTGATCACCAACAGACCGGTTTCTAGCTTTGGCTTTCATCAGTGCAGGGGTGTCTTCAGATGGCATTCATGACCGCCATTATAGGTGCGAACCTGACCCAACGTAAACACCTCCCAGCATTTAATACCCACGAGGTGTTCGGCCACTGCGAGATGGACACGAACGCTATCTAGGGTAGAAGAAAAGAAACACTCGAGAACAAATTTCCATTTCAGATAAAATTGAAGTGGCTGAACGCCCGACCGGCGTAATTTCATCAACGAAAATGCCAAAATGATCAAAGTGTCCATCTCACAGTAGCCTATAACGCTTCGTGGGTGCTGGGAGGTGTTCACGTGGGTCAGGATCGCACTAGATGGCAGTCATGAATGCAATCTGAGGTCACCCTCGCACTTTAAACCGGTCTGCAAATAGTCATACGTTCCTGAACAATTTAAACACAATATGCAGCATTCAGATCAACTTATTGCCATCTTATTCATCCATACGAATGGTTCCATAGATTTCTAGAGGGCGTAATTCAAAGGTCTGCTTGGCATATAGCCAGGAAAGTAGTTGTTTCTTCTTGTTATCTTACAGTTTCGTTCAATTAGGATCATATGTGGAAATTACTTTGGGCTTCTCATATTCATTCAACATTCCATTCCACTTCGAGCATTTTGGATTTTTCGTTGTCACTTATTAGGTATAGTTCATCCCAAGTCAATTGGAGCGTTTCGAGCCGCACGTGCACACACTTCAGAAGGAACTTCAAATAAGATACAGAGATGAATTGGGTACCACAAATTGAAAGAGTATCCATTCCGTTCGATCGTTGACTACTCAGTAGCATGATTTCGTTTTCGGTAGCATGATTTTGATTAGTCTTTTTGTCTGTTTACACAACTCAAACACTTTAAAAAGTGTGTATTGTTGAATATCATAAACTGATGACATCATCTGATTGGCCGTTTCTATATGTTCTTGAAACAAAATTATGTCATCCGTTCGTAATAATGATTGATTGATTGTTTTTATTACCCCAAGAAACATATTTGTTTATAATATGCGATATATGACTATATCACTGGTTTGACATTTTGATTTTTCGTTTCAGAGAGTGGCATCATAACAGATATGTCGGTGGGATCAGATGACTTCCAAGAACAGATAAATACAGGGTCTTGAAAGAACTTGTCAAGAATTCACATAAATATTACAAAGGCTTGATAGCGAACTTGAAATAGACGAATTCATGAATCCAATTCAAACATCAATTTTTTTCATCACTGATATGTTCAAGATTATATTTATTAGTTCTGATCAGTTCTTCGTCGTAGTTTCGTTATTATGGTCCAGGAAACTGATGCAACATTTTTCAGTTTTGAGCCAAACGAACCGTTATTTTGACTGTTTTAAGTCGAAATACACCATGTGCCAGGATATGTTACTTATAGTTAACTCGTAGATTTTCAAATTATTGTTTCGAATAATATATTATTATTGTTAGGTATTATAATAGATGGATTATATGAGTGTGCATGCTATAGTGTATATAACAATAGATATCTGACAGTTCTCAATTCACACTGGAAATTGAACTAGAGCGATGAAGGATATAAAGCTATCAGCAAGAGAAAAGTACATACCTTTTCCAAATATGTTTTTCATGTAACTTTATGTAACTTTTGTTTCCAATACTTTATTTATTAATTTGTTATAGTTTGTACTTAAATGTCATGTAACGAATTCTACCACTAGAAAATTTCAGGATCTTCAGGGAATTCATCATGAAATATGTATATAGAAAAAATATAAAATATCTAACAGGACACCAATTTCATAACTATTAATATTGAACACAATTGATGGCTATCATTAGCGATTCACCATGGCGATATTGGAAATCTTTGGCAGCTTTTAAAATATTGACAAGAGTATTGAAATAATAAACTGCATCATCAAATATATCGCACCAGGAAATTGAACAAAATGTTCTAACCCCATTCAACCCCATTCAACCCCACTTAACTCAGAGCAGGTATCGCTTTTTTTTTGTCGTTTTCCATTGATGTTTTGGGGTTCACATTCCTAACAGTCATGCTAATCCCAGTCAACTCAAACTTTGAACATTAAAATTCAAACACCCTACTTTCGATAGGTACATTTATGACAAGGTTATCAACTGAAAAGTTGAAAAACCGGAATTCGCGTTATATCTCGCGAGCTCCAAATCATACAGTGTTGTGTTTTTCGAATTCTGTTCGAATCCAAATTAGTTTTTGGAAAACTTGCAAATATACAGTGTGTCGCCTTTTCCTGCAAATTTCAGAACCCTACCTCAATAGTTACGTGAGATACGGAGGTGCTTCCATGAGAGGTGAGACAAAACTAAATTTTTCTGAACTGGAAATTTTCCTGGAAAAATATGTATAATCAGTGAATTGTACCTCCTGATTTCGTATCCGAAGTGATTTTCAACCTATTGTGCCTCCTATTATAATTTTCCGGAAAATGGGGTGGTCCCATGGCTGTTGGCGACCAGTGTATTTCACTGAAGATGAGTCAACTTGGTGATAGAGTGCATTTTCAGTATTTCTGTCGCTCCAGCAGATACAGGGGAGTTTCGATCAGAAGTGAAACACACTGTATACGTTATATGACGTATGTATTGTGTATAACTGAGTTCACCTTTTATAACCACAATTCATATCGATTGACTTGAGCTCATAGAACATTTCAAAGTTAATTCGATGCCATAGATACGAAGCGAACACATTACCACGAGTAGAATTCAATTCAAGATGGATATAATAACTTTTTTTCATTTTTGGAGAGGTATTCCTCCATTTTTTCTCATCTATGATAAATGAAACGAAGGAAATAGACGCTATCCTTGTTATGTTCAAAAATTGTACGTTAAGAAAGTCATAAAAACCAACATTTCCACGCACACAGGTTGAGTTTATTTGTGGAACATTTAAAAACATAACATTATTTTAGGATCAGTTTGCTTGTATGAAATTGAAACATGTTTTGGAATAGCTGACGTTGATACCTAACCACTAATGGCACAGATGATTAAATACATATTAAATACAACCCAATCAACAAAACTGACCGAACTGTTCACAATGATAATGTAGTCATTACGAGCAAAATAATCGTTTGATATGCATTTTACATGAAGTACGATATGTAGTCGTTGGAACGTTCCTGAAATATATTATTCTCATTATCTCGTTGAAAATTCTTCCAAACTGTGAGCCTTCGATTTCCAATTCTCCATGGTGAGATATATCGACAGGAACAGCTATACTGTATCCTCTAATATTATGGATTAGATGAAAATTTTGTAAATGCATGATTTTTATAATTCACTGTAGTCATATTGGAGTTTAATGGAATATATATACATATGTAAAAACCAGGATTGTATTTGTTTATTCGTTACCTTGATATTCTACTCAGATCGTTATAATGTGTTCTTTCACTTCACGATAATTTTTATTACAATCATCACCATAGGCCCTAGGGGAATATTCGTGAAGTAGTGAACTTTGAACAACAATAGTTGTTTTTGTATCTAGTGCGCGAAATGCTATTTTGGTGATCGAGAACTGGTTTTTTCAACGAGGCGCAGCCGAGTTGGACAAATTTTCGAGATGACCTGAGAATTTCGCGCACGAGGTGCAAACAAAATTTTTTCTACAAACGTCAAAAAATATAGTACTGGAGTAGTAATATGCTGAGCCTAATATTAAAAATAGTATTGAGCTGACCTAAAAAGCCTCGCCATATCCTCCCTATGAACTCTCGATGTCCCACGAACATTATAGGAATTTCCATTCGTGCGGTCGAAGGGATGAGATGAAATATTGTTAAACATCCTGAAATAAAATATTCCTTTGATGTTTCCTCGATTGAGGATCATAGAGTCAAAATTTGAAAATCTCATATATTTTACATACAATTCGCGCTACAGTTGTACTACGGCCTTACTTAATATAGTAGACGACATCATTGCTTCAACTGATGAAATTCAGTGTGTTATTTTGGCTCTGCTAGATCTTAGTAGAGCATTTGACACTATATCATCAAATCAATGCTCAATATCTTGCACTATATATATATAGGTTTTTCAGGAACGGCTGTTGGCCTCATTCAAAATTATCTAAACGATCGTAAGCAGTGTGTGAAAATTGAATCAAATAGTCCGAATATATGACATTGAACTCGGGGGTGCCACATGGTTCAATTTTGGGTCCTCTGCTTTTCTCGATATATACCATCAATTTGATGAAATCTCTAGAACAATGTAAAAGATTCATATATATGCTGATGACACACAGATTTATCATAATTTTCCTCCTCAATTGGAAAATAATGCTTGTGAAACAATCAATAGGGAACTGACGGCGTTTATTCAGTTAGCTTCTGGAAAGTGTTTGCAAATGATTTGTGCTAAATCTAAAGTAATGTTAATTGGTTCGATTTATAACCAGGGTAGACCTATAGTTTCCTTTCAATATAGAAATTAATAACGAACCAATCGATTTAGTTAAAGAAGCTGAAAAACAATACATCATTGCGTGAAAGAATTGATAAGGCAAGAGTTCAAAGGCAAAACCATTGCAAGCTATTCAGATAGCCAGGCGGCTATCGAAGCAGTCAAATCTATGCAAGTTAACTCAAAATTAGTATGAGACTGCATAGAAACCCTAAATGAACTGGGCATCAGTCAGAACAGACTGACTCTGGCATGGGTACCAGCACATACAGGGTACGAGGGCGATGAAGAGGCAGACTCACTTGCCCGAGCAGGAGCAAGCAAACAAAGCTCTGAATGGCCCAGAACCCTTCTGTGGTATTGCGAGAGCTATACAAAAGACTAGTATCAAATGATGGATGCAAACCAAATCTCAAGAATGGTGGAACAACTCGTCAGGTATGAGACAGGCAAAAGAGTTTATTAAAAAAACCATCGCAAACATTCCACTACTACTGAGCCAGAAACAAAGTTCACCTAGCATTCTAGTGGGACTTTTCATTGCATTGTAGGCTCAACAAACACATGAGTACGATAGGTCTGACTGGAAAACTGCTATGCAGGTTTTGTCAGGAAGAAGAGGAAACAGCAGTACACATACTTTGCCACTGTGAGGGCTTGTCAAGACTAAGGTTCCTTACGCTGCGTGAGGAAAAACCAGAAGCCCAAAGATGAACAGGGGATCTGAAAGCTGGCCTATGGAGTCTAATAGAGAAGGCGGGGCTAGCCGAAGAACTCTAATCGATTTTGAGGGCAGACACAATAGATCTGAAAAGGTCGCGGTATGGAGGCAGATATCATCCCGAAGGCCCCATACTGAATCTTATATTGCTCACTGAAACTAATTTACGGAACCAGGCATTTATTTCCTCGGAAAATAAAACTATGTCGTGAAGCATTAATTCTATCACATTTTAATTTTGCTGACTCCGTCTATGGTCCGAACTTAACAACTGTATATAAAAAAAAAATCAGAAATTGCAGAATTCCTGTTCAATGCTGATTTATGGTGTAAAAAGAAATCAAAGAATATCACATAAATTAACACAGATTGGATGGTTGCATAACAGAACAATTCACCACGCTGATACTTTTATAACACAAAACTGTTCCATTCAAATTGCTACATATTTGCATCACAAAATACCATTCAGGACAGATTCACATATCTCAAATTTACGATTCAAAGGTTTCTTATTCACACGTCAATTGAAAACTGAAATATTCAGGTGATCCTCCACTTACCAAATTCATCAGTAATATAACTACGTTTCTGAAAGTATGAAGAACCCCAGCATCACTTTTGCTTCAGGTCTGAATTTAAAAATGGACTATTCAAAACACAAGTCTAGATACAAATATGAAGATAATCATCCCATCCCTCTCACATTCCTGTCATTTTCTATTGTCAATCAAAAGGCTACACACTGCAATGCTCTCCTTAGCACACTATACCAGGGATAAGTGGATGAACATTTCCGTAGCGAAGCCACTCTTTTTCTACAAGAAATGAACTCCGCCCTTTATTTTCAGGAACCTTTTTTATTCATGTTCATAATATGAATATTACTTCAAAATAATAGAGACCTTCACTATTATCATTTAAATTCATATATTATTCCAGTCACGACTCTTGCGTCCTCCGACGCCACGCAGAGTCGTGCTGAATAGAATCCAGTGACTACTCCCTCACAGCCTGTGGGGTGAATAATCACTGGGACCAAGAACCGTGTGCCCTGAGTAAACGCAATGATCCAAGTATGACGGCCTTCTGCATTCCACCAGCCAGGATGTATGCCTTATCGCGGCACACTGGGATTTTCTGGAATTCCTAGAGCAGCGTATGTCGTGTGCCTCCTAGGGAGCCGATTATCAAGATGACCAATTCCACAGAATGGTCTGGATAGAGCCTGCGGGGTTTGAAGAGGAGATCTCGATATTTAGTACGTTTCTCCTCCTCCTTCAAAACGATGTTCGGTTCGGCTGGCGCCGAAAACTCGATCACGAACATCGCTTTGGTTTGATGGTCGAGGAGGACTACATCAGGCTTGTTAGCTTGTATTTGCCTGATGATGGGGAATGAGGAAATTCAATAAATTCAGCACCTGTCATTCACCACAACGGACTCAATTTTCCCCCGGAGCATAGGGCAGAACTGGGTTCTCGTCTATTCCGTACGAGTGCCTCAAAATGGTAGTACTCAGAGCACTCGCAATGCCGCATTGTGTCTATGGATATAGACCTTTATTATTATCATTATTATTATCATTCCAATTATTATTATCATCATGTACAGTTGCATTAAAAAAAAGCGTACAAGTATATTACAGAGAGAAATTAACTTCATCCTATTCTGCATAAAACTGGCTATCGGGAATGATTGCTTACCAAATGTTGACAGTAAAGTTGACATAGGTTCTCAAAAACACGAAGCATTGGCTGAGCCAGTTTTACACAACTAGAATTAGGATCCCGAAATCCTCTCTTTTGAATACTTGTACGCTTTTTTATTGAATACGACTGTACTTCGCGTATCGTTTCACTTCGCGCACTGCTTCGCACTTGGTGTCGTGTTTACGTAGGAAACTAAAGAAAAGTGCCACTTCGCAATGTGCTATCAATGCGCGAACCTTGTCACTTTTCAACGTTTGTAGAAAATATATATTCACATAACCAGTTAGGAAACGCGTCACCAAGTGTCACTGGGAACTGGGAAGTGTCAAGACGAATACGAATTTGCCATACAAAAATCCATTTTTTATGTTGAAAACGGAAGCAGATTTGTCCCCCAAACGTCCAAGGATAAGTGAAAATTGACGTTTTCTCTATATACCTTTATTCCTCTTCCCCAAACATTTTTCAATACAAATTGTCACTGGCAAACTAGTGATTTTTTTCTTTTAGGCTCTCTGATAGGAAAATTGTTTTAAACGCAGTGACATTTTGGGGCAAATCATCAAATTTGTTCTTACTACACGTATATTGGGATAATAATATCATAATAGAAAGAATCCCAAGAAATATGGAATAATGAGAGTACTTTCTATACTGCGTTCTCTTCTAGAGTTTCTATATTCCATCCCAGGAGAGGAAAACTCTCGAGGGGGACATGCCAACGTTGCCAATGAAGATCATGCTGATATTACAGCCTGGGGAACCAACAACCTGATGGATGCATTCAAGGCCACCAAACCTTGAACCTGTATTTTGTCTAGAAAACCCTAATTCAGTATGTCTGATTCAACATCTGACAATGTTGAATCACCATTCTCACGAAGTTCTAACAGCACCCAAAGTTACGCTGGTCTTAGATTCCATATAGAGACCAGTAATTCACCTGGTTGATGATGTCACTCTTACCAAATCCCTGCCATCATTGAAAGGATGTAGATAAGTCGAAGATCTTCCACTTTTATATACGGGGTATTTCATACTAGTCATACATATTCACTTCCAGAGGGCTCAGAGCATATCAAGAACATTATTCAAATGTCCCCGAATATACGTCCAAAACTCCTCCTTTTTCGAGTTACACTGTATTGAAATAACAAGTTTTCTTTTTAGATTACCGCTCTATAGATCCTGATGTTTCCAGAATATCCAGCTCAAATTTGGAATACATGTTACGGAGCTCACATCAATGGGATGATGATGAACTCAATTTGTCCGTATCTGCGACCGTTATTAAAAAATAGTGATTCACGTAACAAGTCTGGAAAATACTGTTTTATTGGACTAGTAGACAAAATTCAAGGCCGAGCCGTAGGCGACTCCTGGAAGTCTGCGAGTCCATAAAATTATTTTTTGATGCGTACACAACTTTTTCGGCAACCATATGTAGAATGACAATTGAATAATTATTATTTTTATCAA